CACTCACCCCATATCTAGGAATGATTATGTAAGGTTGAATTTTTATTTGTTGCATGTGCAATTTCTTTTCTCCTATATTAGCTAGATATATTCATTTTGGTACAGTTGTGGCTTTTATTTCCCTGTTTATGAAACCTCTCTTGCACAGTGCTAGGAATAAGACAGGCCCTCATGGACAGGCTAGATGAGACCAAACTAACCATATGTGACTCTAGATAAGTGAAGTAGATTTGCAATCATTGATAACATTTCTTCATTCTTCCCAGTCAGTGTTAGTATGGCAGCAAAATAGTCATTGCTAGACATCAAACAGAACTACGGGGTAGCCTTACAATGTAGGGGTAATATCTGGCAGTACATTTCAGATATTGAAATGCCAGTTCAGTTTATCAAAGAAGACCTATCTTCAGCCTAAGTCTGATGATCCACAAGAATCTTGTTAGCTTCATGTTTTCTCTTTAATGATAATAGCTATTTTTAACATCTACAATATTCCAGAAATTGTACTAGGAGCTTTGCATAAATTAACTCTAATCCTCTGATGAAACTGAAGAGAAATGTGTTATAATTCTAATTTTTCAGCTGAGGCCATGCCACACACCTAGTAAAACTGAAGGTGATGCTTCTTCACTCTATCACACCACCTTGGGAGTGTCTGTTTAGAAGTATGCCAAATTCCCTTAAGTGTGTGAGATTTTGGTGGACATTCCAAAAGAAAGAAATGATAGTCCCATTGTTGTTATATAGTGAAAAAGTGCTGGTGTTGGAACCAGAATTCTTAGGTTCAACTATTCCTCCTTCAGTCAATTTCTGTTTTTATTTTCTTATTCATGAGATAGGAATAATTAGTCCTGTTTTCCTCCCTTCTTCCTTCACAATAGTTTTTTTTTTTTTTTTGAGAGCCAGATGCAGGACAACATATGAAGAAACTTAGTATAAATGTAAAGCACTAATTTGTTATTAAATATATACACATGGACTCAACTAGCTCCAATATAGAAATACATTGTAATATATATGAATAAATTAAATAGGATAATTTAAATAGACATATATGCATAACTTTGACATACCTGGAAGCCTGAAATGAGAAATCCCTCAAATAGGAAAAGTAGATGACAGAAGTCAGCACTGTTATTCCATGAGATTCATTCACTAAATGCATAATGAATTAGAAAAACTTGAACAGCAAGAGTGAAAGTGATATTCAGCATTATTATTTTCTTAAATACATATTGTTTGAGAGGATACAATAAAATTTCTAGACTTTGAAAAATACCAGTAAATACTTGGCTCTATCATGATATAAAGAATTATATAAATAGAGCAGCTAGAAATAAAAACCAGACACATAAGCTAGAAACAGATACTTCTGTCTTGGAGATTTTAGTTTGAAAAATCACTTAAACCAGAAGGGAGGTCATGAGTCATACCTATTTGATAGCAAAAATTTATTTATTATATTTCAAAGATTAGTCTGCTTGATTTCCTTTAACTGACAAGATTAAAGCCATAGAAAATGACAGTTTTAAAGAAAGTTTATCCATAAAATTTAAAAAAAATCTTAAAGCATTTCAAAGTTATACTTTGATAATTAAGCAGATCTTTTTAGCATCTCACTATTTTCACATTTTCCTCACTAACGATATACTGATTAATCATTGATAATTTCATTTCTTATACTTTTTAGGGTTTTCCATACAGTTTATTGAAAGAGCCAAGACATAGATACGAAAAATGCTTCCACTAGGTGTTTGAAAGAAGTCTGGGTAATGTGATTTGCATGCTATGGGAAATGACTTTCACTTGGTCTGTCATCCATCTTTGCTTTGCTGCCTTTTCTATACTCTTGCCACCAGGTGGCAGTGAGACAACACACAAGCTTACCATGTAATTTCTCACATTTTAGTATGAAATGGCAAAATAAATAAATAAATAGGATTCAGGATATCACTGAATTAATCAATAAGGTCCAGTTTGTTAATAAGAGGATGGTCATTTAATATATGAAATGTCAATTGACAATAATATATGCAAGAAATGCATGTATGAACACATGAAAAAGCATGACAGTGTAGTTTACTCCTCTTTAGACAGTAGAATCATGGTCAATGAACATATTTGCAATGATTGCATGCACAGTATTCAAAAGAATAAACCACTTTAGAATTTAAAAGGAAAGAGAAATAGCCAGAAACCACTGATTATCATAACGATTGCAATGGCACTCATAGCTAAAAAGAATCTTAAAGATAAAAGACTCAGGCTTATAAAGTTTCCCACATGCTCAGAAGATGTGTAGGTTGTCACTCCATTTATTGTCTAAACATACACACTTTTGAGAATAAAAGGGACACTAATAATAACACATCAGTGTTATATAAATACAGGGTTATACATATATATGCAGTGCATATATATATGTATGTATCTGTTTTTAGCTTAAGTGTCTGATAATTTCTAGCTGCTCTACTTACATAATTCTTTACATCATGATAAAGCCAAGTATTTACTGGTATTTTTTAAAGTCTAGAAATTTTATACTTATATAAGTATACGTATACATATAATATACATATACACATATATATCTATGTGTGTGTGCATATGTATACTCACACACACGAGAGAGAAGAAATATGTATAACATGAACATATATATGAGAGAGGAAGAAATACATGTGATATAGGAAACATTTCAGTTTCATAATTCTTCCAGCCATAGAATATTCATATGATAATTTGCTTCTTGTGAAATGTTTTCATTCCCCATTCACCTATGTAGCTTTTCTATTTTTCATATCACAGCTGAATTGCTACTTTTCTTTTCAAAAGGATGTCGTTCTTGTCTTCTTAGATTATGTCAAGTTTCCCTATTATAGGTTCTTCTTATAGCATCATGCTTCATCAATTCAGTTATTATTTGAACAAGCTTTTGATTAATATCTATTTCTATCACTATATTTTAAGCTCCATGTGACAGAAGATAATTCTAGTTTTAATTAGCATTTATTTCCCCACCTCACCTAATCTAGCATGATTTTATATATATAAATATACATATATATTTATATATTTTATATATATACAAACACATACACAAACAAGTACACACACACACATATATATATTTAATAAATGTATGAACATTCCAATCATTGGGTATATAAATTGTTGTGGGAATTCAGGAACCCCGAACGGAGGGACTGGCTGGAGCCAAGGCAGAAGAACATAAATCGTGAAGATTTCATGGACATTTATCAGTACCCAAAATTAATACTTTTATAATTTCTTATGTTGGTCTTTACTTTAATCTCTTAATCATGCTATCTTCATAAGCCAAAAATGTACGTCACCTCAGGACCACTGTTGTATAAATGGATTGTAAAACATGTGTGTTTGGACAATATGAAATCAGTGCACCCTGAAAAAGATCAGAATAACAGTGATTTTCAGGGAACAAGGGAAGATAACCATAAGGTCTGACTGCCTGCAAGGTGGGCAGAATAGAGCCATATTTTTCTTCTCGCAGAAAGCCTATAGATGGATGTGCTAGTAGGAGAAACATCACTGAATTGTTTTCCCAACAAGGAATAACCCTGGGGAAGGAATGCATTCCTGGGGGTAGGTCTATAGATGACTGCTCCGGGAATGTCTGTCTCATGCAGTTGAGATAAGGACTGACATATGCCCTGGTCTCCTGCAGTACCCTCAGGCTTACTAGGATTGGGAAATTCCAGCATGGTAAATACTAGTCACACCAGTTGTCTGCTCTTGAAACCTGTTTCCTGTTAAGATGTTTATCAAGACAATGCGTGCACAGCGGGACATAGACCCTCATGAGTATTTCGAATTTTGCCTTTGCCTTGTGATCTTCATAGACCTTTGAAGCATGTGATCCTTATGACCCACTCCCTGTTCATACATCCCCTCCCCTTTTAAAATCCCTAATAAAAACTTGCTGGTTTTGCAGTTCGGGGTCGCCATCATGGTCCTACCAATATGTGATGACATCCCTGGAGGCCCAACTGTAAAATTTCTCTCTTTGTACTCTTTCTCTTTATTTCTCAGACCAGTCAACACTTAGGGAAAATAGAAAGAACCTATGTTGAAATATTGGGGACTGGTTCCCCCAATAATAAATTATACTAGTTTTTTTGTGGTTTTTTCAACAAATTTTTTTTTTTTTTTAATGGAGTCTTGCTCTGTCACCAGGCTGGTGTGCAGTGGCATGATCTCAGCTCACTGCAACCTCCATCTCCTGGGTTCAAATAATTCTCCTGCCTCAGCCTCCCGAGTAGCTGGGACTACAGGTGTGTACCACCACACACAGCTAATTTTTGTATTTTTAGTGGAGACGGGGTTTCATCATGTTGGCCAGGGTGGTCTTGATCTCTTGCCCTCGTGATCCACTCACCTTGGCCCCCCAGAGTGCTGGGATTACAGGCATGCGCCACCGTGCCAGGCCAACATATGTGTTTGATAGTAACTGGCCTTGACAGTTTAAGATAAAAAACTGCAATTTTTCTTTGTCTGTACATAATAAAATTGTGAAAAGTTTTTTTGTAAATATAAAAATATCATTTTGAAATAAAACCAAATTTGTCTTTAGGGGTAAAGTATTATGTTTAGTTTATAAAAATTGAGAACACTTGGCTTCAGTTATAAAGCTGGCCTTGTGTGCAGAGTAATTCATATCATACATGGCAGCTATTTCATTTCTATATGATTTTAACTTTTAGATTCTTAATCTGAAGTCCAAGGGTAGGCTTCCATGTTTGCTACTCACTCTGAAATTATGTGAAGATTTCGTGTTCAGGGGTATATGTGTGTATGTGTGTGTGTGTGTGTGTGTGTGTGTGTGTGTTTTAACTAAAAGAGTGCATAATTTTCATTAAATTATTATTATTTTCTTTTTAGATGGAGTTTTGCTCTTGTTGCCCAGGCGGGAGTGCAATGGTGCAATCGTGGCTCATTGCAAACTGCCTGCCAGGTTCAAGGAATTCTCCTGCCTCAGTTTCCCAAGTAGCTGAGATTACAGGTGTGTGCCACCATGCCCAGTTAATTTTTGTATTTTTGGTAGAGACAGGGTTTCACCATGTTGTCCAGGCTGTTCTCGAACCCCTGACCTCAAGCAATCTGCCTGCCTTGGCCTCCCAAAGTGCTGGAATTATAGGCATGAGCAACCGCGCCTGGCCAATTTTCACTAAATTTTTAAATAACTATGCTATACAAGCGTTATAGAAGAATACTAATTAGAAGAGAAAATGTTAACATGGTCCTCATTTAATTAAATTGCCCCAAAGTAATATTGATTTTTTTCTGTGGTCAGTATATGGCTGTATAGCTCATTCTGTTGCTATTGTTTGTTTTCTTTTAATTTTTTTAAACAATTTTTTAAATTTTGTTAATTTTTGCCAGGCTGGAGTGCAGTGGTGTGATCTCAGCTCACTGAAACCTCCGCCTCCTGGGTTCAAGCAATTCTCCTGCCTCAGCCTCTTGAGTAGTTGGGACTACAGGCATGCACCACCATGCCCAGCTAATTTTTGTATTTTTAGTAGAGACAGGGTTTCACCATATTGGCCAGGATGGTCTCGATCTCTTGACCTCATGATCTGCCCCCTCGGCCTCCCAAAATACTGGGATTACAGAGACGAGCCGCCATGCCAGACCACTATTATTATTATTTTTAAAGACCAAAGACAACATGGGAAGATGCATGCATTTCTTCAAACATCAAAACAATTTGAAATATTTCATGCCCATCATAAAGCCTTTACACTTTGGTCAAATTCAACTATGGCAGAAAGAAAAATTACCTTAGTTTTGTTTAGAACCAACTCTAAAAATACATTTATTCCAGCTTTATTAACTTCAAAACTTGGATTATTTGATTAAAGACCCAGGTTATATTCAGTTAGCTGTTTCTTTACATTTAGTTAAAGAGTAAGCTTTGTAATAATAAAGATCATATTTCCCTATTTATCTTCTGCTTAAATGTTCTATTATTAAAAATGGAGTATTAAGATTTCCAACTATTATGGTTGAATTATCAATTTTTAAATTCTGTCACTTTTTGCTTTATGTATTTTTGGGTTCAGTTGTGACACGCATATGTGTTTATAATTGTTTCATATTTCTAATGGATTAATCCTTTTTCTTTATTCTCTTTATCTCTAGCATTATTCTTTGTTTGCAAGTCTCTTTTGTCTGTTGTTAGTGTAGCCATCACAGCTATCTTTTGATTGCTGTTGCATCATATATTTTGTATCTTTTTACTTTCCCTGTATTTGCATCTTTGAATCCTAAATGTGACTCTTGTAGATAACATATACTAGAATATTGTTATTTTAAATCTAATCTGTCAATCTTTGCATTTTAATGGAATGTTTTAATCTTTTCACATTTAAAATTATTATTCATATATTTGTATTTATAACTGCCATTTTAATTTTGTTTTCTATATGTTTTACATCTACTATTTATCTGTTCTTTGTTTACTGCTTTCTTTTGCATTAAGTGAATATTTCCCAGTGTAACATTTTAATTGCTTTAATTGTTTTTTTCACTACATAAAAAATAATTTTCTTAGGGTTTACCATATCCATCATAAGTTATTAAAATTTACTTCAGATTTCAAATGACTTCTTTACAGTGAGATACAGGAATGTTACTCCTATACAGCACTCTTCTGTCTTCCTTATTTGGTGCTGTTATTGTCATACATATTATGTTGACATATTTTACAATAGTGCATCATTATAATTTTTTTATTACTTTATATAATTTTTTATCTTTTTTCTACTTTAAAAAAGTTTCTATTTTTTAAAATTTTATGCATAATTGTACATATTCATGGGGTACATAATGATGTTGCCATACATATAACGTATAGTAACCAAATCAGGGAATTAGCATATTCATTTTAGCAAATATTATTCTCATATTGTTATTTCTTTCTGTTAGAAATATTCAACATCATCCTTCTAGCTATTTGAAATTATGTATTTATGTTAAGCATAGTCATCATACCATACTGTAGAACACTAGAACTTGTTTCTCCTACCTAACTGCAATTTTGTAAACTTTAACAAAATGATTTTATATCTTTTATAAAGAGACTGAAAAGGAGATTGAGTATATGCCTTAGAGTTGTTGTAGGTTACATTCTTATTTAACATTTGTGATTTTTCTAGTTTGTTCATATGGATTCAAGTTACCATCTGATGTTATTTCATTGACCTCCCCATCTCTTCCTTGTGCATTTATTTTCGAACATATTATATTTCTATATGTTATAGGCCCAGAAATTCAATTATACGCATATTGTTTTATACACTTGCTCTCAAATTAGTTAACAGGATAAAAAAGAAGAAATATAAATTTTTACTATGAAGTTATCCTGGGATAACAATACTTTTAAAAGGCTGTTTTTGACTATCTCTTTTCCTGAATTTTCTGTTAAACTTTCTGCTTCTATTGGTATTACACCCACTTCTAGGCTCCACCAATTTCCAGGTGATTGCTCTATTGTTTTCAACAATGCCCATGGACACAAACTGCTCCACACTCAGATCCCATTAAATTCAGGCCCCTTTGCAAAGGTGGTTTTTGAGGCCAGTCATTGTGAAATTTTTCTTATTCTAGTAGTAATCTTCCCTTCTCCTGGTTCTCTCTGGTAAACCAACTAGCCCATGATTAGGAGTTGGAAGAACAGGGAGATCCCCATCTCCTTGACCACACTCACACATAGTGAAGCTTCTATCACACTGCAGTGGGGTTAGGGAGGGAGCAGGTTGTGGCTCATGTTCTGCAGGCTCTCACAGTTCTTCCTGAGACTTAGTAGATTTTCTTGAATACGTGTGTCTGTATTTTTCATATGTCTATAAGACAAAGTTTAGAGACTTTTAAAATAATAGGTGTTTTCTTTAGATAATGATTTTCACTAGTTATGGTTGTCTAGGTAAGGAGTGAGTCCGTGGAGCTCCACAGCTGCCATTCCAGAGGTGAAACCATCTTTCTCTGTGCTCTTTTTTTTGGTTTGCATTTACAATTTTTATGGATACATAGTAGGTATATATATTTATGTGGTACAAGAGATATTCTAATGCAGACATACAATACATAATAATCACATCAAGGTAAATAGAGTATCCACCTCAAGCATTTATCATTTCTTTGTATTATCAACATTCTGGTTATATTTTTTTAGTTACTTTTAAATGTACAATAAATTATTGTTGACTCTAGTCACCTCATCGTGCTGTCAAACAGAAGATCTTATTCATTCTACCTAACTATATTTTTGTAACTACTAACTATCCCCAGTTCCCTCCCCATCCCACCCACTACCTTTCCCAGCCTCTGGTAATCATTATTCTCTTCTCTGTCTCCATGAGTTCAATTGTTTTAATTTTTAGGTCTCACAAATCAGTGAGAACAGGCCAAGTTTATGTTTCTGTTACAGACTTATTTCACTTAACATAAAATCCTTCAGTTCCATCCATGTTGCTGCAAATGACAGGATCTTATTCTGTTATGGCTGAATAGTGCACTGTTGTGTATAAGTACCACATTTTTTTCATCCACTCTTTTCTCAATGGACACTTAGGCTGCTTCCAAATTTTAGCTACTGTGACTACTGTTGCAATAAACATGGAAGTGCAGATGTCTCTTCAAGATACTGATTTCCTTTCTTTGGGGTATATGCCTATTAGTTAGATTGCTGCATCATATGGTAGTTCTATTTTTAGTTTTTTGAAGAACTTCTGTATTCATCTTCACAGTGGTTGTACTAGTTTACATTTCCACCAACAGTGTATGAGTGTTCCCTTTTCTCCAAGTCCTTGTCAGTATTTGTTATTGCCCATCTTTTAGGTAAAAGCCATTTTAACTTGGGTGAGATGATATCTCTTTGTACTTTTGATCTGCATTTCTCTGCCGATCAATATGGTGAGCACTTTTTCATACACCTTTTTATCATTTGTATGTCTTCCTTTGCTATGTTCTTCATTCTAAATAATGGTTTGTCTTCAAATTCACTGATCCTTTTTTTCCCCTCTAGTATCCAATCTGTTGGTTAGTCCATCTGTTGGATTTTTCTTTTCTAATGTGTTAGCTTTCCATTGTAGAGTTTCCTCTTCTGTTTTCTATAATTTCTACTTCTCTGCTAAGAGCATGTACCTTTTCACATGATCTAATTTTTTCCTTTAAGTCCTTAAACATGTTATTAAGTTACTGTCTGAATTATCAGAAGTGGATTATCTCTCAGTCTTTATTGACCTTTATTCACAATTATTTGTCATATTTTCTATATCATCACATATCTAGTAATTTTTAAAATTGAATGCTGGAGATTGTAGCCGTATACTGTAGGCAGTTTGAATACTGTTGTTATACTGTGTTTTCCGTGTTGTTTTCTAGATAAGTTATGGTGTTTTGCTCTGGCACATAGATAAGGTATAGGAGATGTTCTTAAAATTGTCAGATTTCTCTTTTTCTTAAAAAAATGTTTAGGGCTATTTCAGTTTTGTCCTTAGTTCTGGGATATCACCTTTACTTTAAAAGGGAGTCCTTATTTCTAAAGTCTAGCCTTTGTAGGGTCTCAACTGAATACCCAAAGTACTCAGTGAGGACCCTAAACTTTGACTGGACCAGAATTTCAGCAGCCTCAGTGTTGTGTGATCTCCAATAGCAACATTTAGATTCATGCGCACAGCATCTGCTCTCTGTGAGCTTCGTGGAATTTTGTCATGCTCATGCACAACCCAGCCCTCATCCAGGGCCACAGGAGAACCATCAGAAGGCTTCTCCTTCTATCCTGTACTGCTCCTTCCTCACCATTGATTGCCCTATTCCACAGATTCCAGACACTTCAGGGAGTCCAAACTCAGATATTTTACTCCTCGTCTTACTAGGACCTCTACATTCTTCTTGGGCTCATCTTCCCTATGCTGTGGTCCAAAAAGTTCTTCCAGGAAGAAAGTGAGAAGAACTTGGGACCCAATTTGTGTATTTCTCCAATCCAAATAATTATAGTGCTGCACTCCTTGATATTCAATCTCTCAAACAGTGTATTCCTACATTTTGTTCTGTTTTGTATTCTTTACAGGAGGAGAATAAATCTGGCAACAATTATTCCATCATGGTGAGAAGTCTCAGAAATTAGATTTTTTGAAAGATTACATTCAAGTTCTTAGAATACTGCCTACATATAATAGAGACTAAGTCATAGTTTTTGAATAAATATTTTCTATTTTGTTACTTTTTATATTAGAGAAATAAAAGTAGAAAACTGAGATTGAAATTTAGAATTAGAACAAAATCCAGGAACTACAAATTATAGTTCTGTGACCTTTGAAAAATGTATTAGACCTTCTAAACTCCACTCTCCTCATCGGAAAAAAGTGGAAACATAAACAGAATTGGCTGGTTGGTAGCCAATTTTCCTTAAAGGTTTGTTATGTTACCCATTGAGGTAGCATGTATGTGAGTGTGAAAATGTCCATTACATAAAATGGTAGAATCTTAGGCATTTAGAAGGAAGATCTCAGGCAAGAGAAAGTGTTTAGCATGATTTTCCATGTGAAATGTAAAGAATTGCAAACCTGTGTTCCATTCATAGCTCCATCTTTTGCTAGTTATGTGACCTCAAGTTACTTAACTTCTCTGAATGTCAGTATTGCATATAAAAATAAGTTAAAAGTAGTATCTACCTCAGATTAAAAGTAGAGTATAACATACTTAGATCAGTGCTTGTTATATAATAAGATCTCAATAAATTGTAACTATTATTATAATTGTCATTTTTAGTTCTTCTCAGACACCATAGTTGACAATTTTACTTTTAAAACCAGTCTTACTAGTTTAGTTTTTATCCTAACAATAGGATATCTAAAGATAAGACCCTAGGGGGAAAAAAAACAAAAACACAAAACAAAACAAAACAAAACCACTTGTATACGACATCCCTAAGTAAGATAAACTCCACAGCTGCTAGGGGCAAAAAGTACTCATGGCATATGGGCTGCATATGGGCTCTGGTTGATGCCTAAAGGGATTAAGTTGAGTTATATGGAACTCACACTTGAATAAATGTTCTAAACTGCTGGAGAGAGTGATAGAAAAGACTCCCATGTTCCCTCAGAAATAAATATGAAATGCAAATATTCCCAGATTACCTTTGAAATTTATGTTTGAGATTCCATCTTCCTGACTATCATCAGTAGTCAATGGAGACGATATTTCCCTCTCTTGTTTCCCTTATACAAAGAAATAGCTCTATCAACCAACCAATTCCTTAAAGCAAAATCATGAGTCATCATTGTTTTTGTTTTCCTTCACTAACTTCCTTCCTCCAAACCACCAGCTCTGAGTTATTTATTTCCATAGGTTATTTGGGAACAGGTGGTGTTTGGTTGAAGGAATAAGTTATTTACTGGTGATTTGCGAGATTTTGATGCACCCAACACTCAAGGAGTATACACTGCAGCCTATTTTATCCCTGACCCCCTTCCCACACTTTTCCCCTGAGTCCCCAAAATCCACTGTGTCATTCTTATGCTTTTGCAACCTCATAGCTTAGCTTCCACTTATGAGTGAGAACATACAATGCTTGGTTTTCCATTCCTGAGTTACTCCACTTAGATAAATTCTCTCCAATCTCATTCAGGTCACTATAAATGCCACTAATTGATTATTTTTTATGGTTGTGTAGTATTCCATCATACACACACACACACACACACACACACACACACACACATATATATATATATCTCACAGTTTCTTTATCCACTGGTTGATTGATGGGCATTTTGGTTGGTTCAACATTTTTGCAGTCGCAAATTGTGCTGCTATAAACATGCATGTGCAAGTATCTTTTTTGTGTAATGACTTCTTTTCCTCTGGGTAGATACCCAGTAGTGGAATTGCTGGATCAAATAGTAGTTCTACTGTTAGTTCTTTAAGGAATATTCACACTGTTTTCCATAGTGGTTGTACTAGTTTACATTCTCACCAGCAGTGTAGAAGTGTTCCCTGTTCACTGCACCCATGCCAAAATCTATTTTTAATTTTTTTTTTATTATGGCCATTCTTGCAGGAGTAAGGCAGTATCACATTGTGGTTTTTATTTGCATTTTCCTGATCATTAGTGATGTTGAGAATGTTTTCACATGTTTGTTGGCCATGTGTATTTCTTCTTTTGAGAACTGTCTATTCATGTCCTTAGCCGACTCTTTGATGGGATTTTTTTTTCTTGCTGATTTGTTTGAGTTCATTGTAGATTCAAACAAATCTTTGTCAGATCTAGAGGTTGTGAAATATTCTTCCACTCTGTTGGTTGTCTGTTTACTCTGCTGACTGTTCCTTTTGCCATACAAAATCTCTTTAGTTTAATTAAGTCCCTGTAATTTATCTTTGTTTTTATTGCATTTGCTTTTGGGTTCTTCCTTATTGAAATCCTTGCCTAAGCCAATGTCTAGAAGGGTTTTTCCAATGTTACCTTCTACAATTTTTATAATTTCAGGTCTTAGATTTAAGTCCCTAACACATCTTGAATTGATTTTTGTATATGGTGAGAGATGAGGATCCAGTTTTATTTTCCTACGTGTGGCTAGCCAATTATCATATCACCATTTGTTGAAAAGGGTGTCCTTTCTCCACTTTATGTTTTTGTTTGCTTTGTCAAAGATCAGTTCACTGTAAGTGTCTGGGTTTCTTTCTGGGTTCTCTACTCTGTTCCATTGGTCTATATGCCTATTTTCATAGCAGTACCATGCTGTTTTGGTGACTATGGCCTTATAGTATAGTTTGAAATCAGGTAATGTGATGCCTCCAGATTTGTTATTTTTGCTCAGTCCTGTTTTGGCTATGTGGGCTATTTTTTGGTTCCATATTAATTTTAGAATTGCTTTTTCTAATCCTGTGAATAATGATGGTGGTATCTTTATGGGAATTGCATTGAATTTGTAGATTGCTTTTGGCAGTATAGTCATTTTCGTAA